CTTTATTATTTCGTAGTGCATAGCCAATATGTTGTGCTCCTTTCTCTCTGATTCCGTTGTTGCCGAGATTCAGTGTGGTGAGCGTCTATATGAAAGAAGGTAAACAATTATGTGAAATAAGTGCAGAGTAAATGTGAGTATTACTTTATTATTTCGTAGTGCATTACCGAGATGTTGTACTCCTTCATCTCTGATTCCGTTATGCCGGAGAGTCAGTGTGGTGAGTGCCTGTATGGTAGAGGATAAATATTTATGTGAAATAGGTGAAGAATGAATAAGTATTACTTTGTTTTTTCGTAGTGCATCACCGAGATGTTGTGCTCCTTCAGCTCCAATGTAGTTCCAGGAGAGCTTCAGTGTGATGAGTGTCTATATGACAGAGTACACATAGTGATGTGAAATAGATGAAGAGTGAATGAGTATTACAGTGTTGTTTCGTAGTCCATTAGCAAGATGTTGTACTCCTTCAGCTCCAATTCCGTTGTGACTGAGATTCAGTATCATGAGTGTCTATATGAGAAAGTACAAATAGTTATGTGAAATAGGTGAAGAATGAATAAGTATAACTGTGTTATTTCGTAGTGCATCACCGAGCTGTTGTGCTCCTTGATCTCTGATTAACTTGTATTGGAAATCCAGTGTGGTGAGTGTCTAGGTGAAAGAGGGTAAATAGTTATGTAAAAAAGGTAAACAGTGAAAGAATATTAGTGTATTATTTGGTAGTCCATTATCGAGATGTTCTGCTCCTTAGTCTTTGATTTCTTTATACGGGAGACGCAGGTTGGTGAGCGGTGACGTGCGGTTTTGGAGATAGGTATGAGAGAGATTTTAGAACGATGTTGATGTTACATAGCGTTGCACATCGGTGTTTTGAAGAAATGGATTTGGGATAATGTAGATTCTATGATATTTTCTACTGATTCCGAGTAACTGGAGGGTGTGGGTGTGGGTGTCATATTAAAGTCAATGTAATACCCACAAGCACACCGACACCCATATCAGTTAGCAATCATGTCAGTTGGTACCCACCTAAGAGGACAACCAACTGACATGGTAGCCATCTGCCTTAGAAGTCGTCTCACTTGGAGATTAACTGATTTGGCATCATAGACTAATCATCCAAAACACACTTGTTGCCTATAGGATCGATTCAGTGAATTTCATTTTCACCGAACTTCTTTTGGAGAAAATTAGTTTTCGGCGAAAGTAGACTAAACCACGGTGAAAAAAAACTTGAAGATTGATGAGCATTAGTTGGGTATAATAAAAGCCTTCCCTTATATCGATCGTAGCTGTCAATAATTTGGTTGATTCGTTGGCACACATTTCGCATAGAAAACAGCAGAGTCCAATCACTATGATGGTCAAAAATTCGGTAGACAAGCTCTACCGGTAATATAATCAAACTTGTCATGATTTTGTTTATCTCCGATAGAAATTGTTAAAATGTATGTTGTGTTATTGCTTTTACTTCTTTTTTTGAAATGCGTATTTGCTTCACGTGTGTCGTATTTTTCTATTGATGGTGCAACTACGTGTTCGAAGAAAGAAAGGTAGAAGAAAAAGGCAACGAAAAAATGTCTTTCTTGTACAAACAGGAAAAGGTAACGTCTTGATTGATTGAAGTTTAGGGATACGATGGTGCATGAGAAATGTGATACTTCTGACCACAAGTAAGGGTGTGGATGTGGGTGTGGATGTATCTTGTCTCCTTACATAGACACTCACCCACCCTTACTTCTTAACGTTGAAAATATGTCGTTAGGCTCTTATTCTGCATGAAGACTGAATAATATTGTATTTGCATATTCATCGTATATGCCATATCATTTTTCTAACAAAACAATATTTATTAAATTTATTTATTTATTATATTTTTCTCCATTAACATGATTTTTGTAATAATATTTAGAAACATTCCGTCATGCATCTTTAGGGTGTGGGTGTGAATATGGCTAAATAAAAGATGAATTCACACCCACACCCCCAAGATATTGTCCATACCAAACTATACAAAGTCGAACAGAAATACTTTCCTACAACGAACAGAAGAGAACTTCCGATACATGTGGGAAGAACATATAAATTACTTTGAAGGATATATGCTTCAACGATTTGTATACTCTCAATCAGAAGTCCAAAATACTTCGAAAAACATCGATGAGTTTACTTATTCATCTTACAGACCATCTGTGGTAACTATCAATTTTCTTAACGAGGAATGCATAGTTTTCAAGAAAATGGTAAATATCCCAAACAGATATAGCGCTGATTTCTTTTTCTCAAATTGAAGACTGTTTCTAACAGAAATGAACTATTTATATTTATATTATTTGTTTCCTTTTCCGATGGTAGCATGAGACGACGTGAAAAGTTTAATTATTTATTTTTAATCCATTTCTTTTTACTATATATGACTTTCTATAGGGCCGACAATTTCCTCATGCATTGTTGTGTTCTTTTACTCTTTTATTTACTGGTGAAGATTAGCCGATTAGCTGTTTTAATGTCTTTTGTTGTGACAGTGTATTGTTTTTTTGAACGTTTTTCTCCTGCCTTAACTCAAATTAAGCGTTGAGTGAGTTTTACTGAATAAATATAGTTTTGAATTTTTAGTTTTGTTTTTAATACGTCGTGCCATCCACTAAGTATGTTTGACTAATGTGTTGACCGACTTTTATTGACGAAACAGACTTCTGATTATTATTTTATTTTCACAATCTATGTCATGGTTTGAGAATAAGCCGATTCATCTTTTCAGTAGCTTTTACAATTAACAAGCACTTCTGTCATTTTCTTCTTTGAAATAATCTGATTTATGTCGTTAGGATTACTCTTACTGATGAAATACACTGCTGAATGTTTGTCATGTTTGTTAACTGCACTTAATTAATCAAAACTGTAGGTAAAACACTGTGCACAACTTCTATCAGTAACACATAGGATTTGAAATTCTCAACTTGCACAAGTGTATCTATTTTATTCGAATAACTTCTATGTATACGATATACTTCTTTCGTCTTCCTTTTATTAACAAGTGTTGTTATCGGATTATTCTTTAACTAATTTTTCTTATCTAAATATAGATCTAATCACAACCGTTTATATAATAATATAAATACCCCAAGAAATTTCACCATAAATTTGAAAAATAAAATATAAAGAAAGAAAATATTAAAGATCGTCACCTGGAGATCCGTCTTGCATTCTATCTAATAAAGTATATTTATATCGACAAATATTAATAATATGTCTCTCTTTCCATGAGGATAATATTATCTAAATTTAGAGATTTATGGTAAGATACAAGAGTTATTTTTTTCCCTAGTATACCAAACCGATCAGTACTTCTATCATATATGTTCAAATCTACGTTATTGTGTTTTTTTATCAAGATTTTGTCATTGTTGTACTTCTATTTTTATTTTATAATCAATTTCCTTCTGTTCTTTTTTTGTCTCTTTTCATTTTTCTCCTGCAATATGAGATTAAGACTTACGACAGATAATTACCTTTTGAAATGTGCAGCAACTTACTAAATAGCTCTTCTTTTTCTATACTCATGAGTATGAAATTCTCCTTACATTATTTTCTCTGCACAGATAAGGATGTTCTGAAAAGAAGCCATGTGATATCATTTGTATTATATTCACTATTATCTTTAATGATCGATTTCTCAGCATATTTGTCTTAATATAGACTTTTTCTAGCATATGAATCGTGATCATTAAATGAGTTTTTTTATTCTTTTATCTTTTGACAAAAAAACGCTTTAACTAAGATAAAGAAGACACACTCATGATATAGTGAATTCGATTTATAACACAAATGCACTTTCATAAGTTGTTGATCATTTATTACAAACACAGTAAATGACGTATTTGTTGAAAGGTTAACAACATATTAAATGTTCTTTTTAACTTATCAGTCTTTATAAATGCGATAAATAACGTCTTTACTGGAGGTTAGCAATATATTAAAAGTTTTTTTTCTAAATTTATCATACATTAGAAACGCGATGAATGACGTCTTTACTGGAGGTTAGTAACATATTAAAAGTTTTGTTTTTAATTTATCATTTTCTATAAATGCGACGGATGTCGAATAGATATAGCACTTTATTTTTTATTTTGTCGACGCTTTATAGACTGTGGAGAGTCTTGTGAGTATTACACATACATTTAAGACAGTTATAAGCATAGAAGAGAAAATTCTCTGTAATTTTAGAATTTGCAGTATAAATATAAGATCAAACGACACTAGTATGAAGTGTTAAACGAAAAAGTAAGTGTGTCGTTTGTCTTTCGCTAAAGAAATAAATATACTGTTTTTGTCGTGACTCGTGAAAGATTATACTTGTTTGTTGAAGTTAGTTCTGGTTCTTAAAAACAATTTTCCTCAATGTTTCTCATATGAAATCTGTCATGAACTCCTACCAATTCCTAAGATTATAACATGGTGTAATACATCAATCGATTTAACCAATTATATCGCGCAACTACAGTCATGCTGTGACTTTTCAGTAACATAACTAGTTTGTACATATACCTAGTATAACACTTCAATATAGTTATAACACAGCAAAATTATTTCAGATGTTGTTTTCCAAACGGATAATAAAGATTTTACTTGACTTGCTTTCCTAACTCACATGAACTTCATCTTTTGCTTTCAGTCATGCGTAACGTATAGGTTTTCCCTGAAATTTCATATAGTAAATGATAAAGAGCAAAAATAACTTTTATTTTATTATTTTTAAAACATGACTGCTATTGTTTTTGTTCGCGCTCCGTCTATATTATAAGCCGAACTACTTAGTTATTCGAAAAACTAGAAAATCAATTGTCATAGATTTGGAAAGTTGGATAGTATGACACGAATAAATATTCTAACTTTATATCTTGTACATTGTGCATAAAGAACAAATTTGGCTGACTGAGTCATTAATTCATTCTCCATCTTCTCTTTTCAGATACTATCAAATACACATAATAGTTTCAATGGCAATCTCTAATATTGTTCAATCTTGGCTCTTTCAAGGTTTTCAAATTCCATCTATTCTATTCGGTATCTTTACTCTCTATCACTTACTCATGGATCGAGCACTTCGAAATGCACTTCACAACCATGTTATTATTGCCATGGTCTCTGTTGGTCTTATCTTGCAATTTTTCGATATTACGGCGCTCGCTTACCTATTACGTACCGGCACTGTATTAGTATCCACAAGAACCTTTTGTGTTGCCTGGACGTTCATTCGTTCCATTGGGATTGTAGGAACACTAAATCTGGTGGCTTGGGCGTCGATTGAACGTCATATTCTTATCTTTCATCAAAAGTGGGTTGGTACGAAAACAAAGCGATTTTTTCTTCATTATCTCCCATTGGTTATATGTATGATGTATCCTGGTGTATTTTATTTTGCTATATACTTCATTGTACCTTGTCCTATTACAATGAATTACACCAAACTAGGATGCGGTTATTATTCCTGTGTCCTTATTACCCCGTCAGTTTCAATGTATGATACTGTGGTGAATTTCTTACTGTCTCCATTTATCATTGTAATATTCAGTGTGGCTCTTATTATACGTGTTCTAGCAAGTAAATGCCGCACTCGTCAACGAATTCAATGGCGTAATTATAGGAATATGGCCATCCCATTATTATCAATATCTCTCCTCTATATCATTGTATACTGTCCACCATTTTTCTTATATACTGCTTATAAGGCCGGTTTAACACAAATTGTAGCTACCAGTTACTATTCTATTACCGCCTCTTTGGATTACTATGCTATAACATTCACTCCTATTATATGTGCTCTCTCATTATCTGAACTTCGAACGAAGTTTAAAATATGTTTTCCATGTTGCCGAAGACGTCGTGCTGCTGTTGGTCCACAAGCATTGATGATGACTCGTACAAAAGCAGGTCCAGCAGCTGGCCCAATAGCTGCAATAGCAACAATTGCTCAATAATTGCTTCAAAACTACCATAATTAACAAATATAAGAGCGTGATCCAATCTAAAAGTATTAACAGACACTATTTTTCATCAGAAAAGGATTTCATATTATAGTTTCCCATTCCTACTTTGCTGTTGTCATTGTATTTTTTCGTTCAGTCGTCGTTTATCATTCTATCTCATCTATTAATCATGCATTTCTTTTTACTGAACATCATTTGATTTCATTTATGTTATGTAATTATTCATATTTTGTGTTTTATTTTAATTATTATTTCGTTTGTTTATGTGTCAAATAAAATAGGTTCGATGTATCCTAGTAGATGATTATTATTATAACTAAAAAAAATAATCAACTGATTGCGTGAAAAGCGTACGCTTCGTGGTGAACGAAGAAGGGTGTAGGTGCAGATGTGAATGCGTGTGTTTGAGAAACCAGTCTGATAGCTACACTCATACTCACCCTCTCTTACCTTCGTCATTTAATGAGAAATGATATTGTACGTATATCTGAAAGTATGAAGCCAGTAGATCCAAGCCACAAAATTGTGCAGGGACTCGTCCATATAAGAGATGTCAATGATAGGTTTTTTTCTCACCCAACTCTGTAGAAATCCAACTCGGTCTATTTCATGTGATGAAAGAGTTTTCTTTCAAACCGTAGATTACTCCAAGCATTGACTGTTCACTAAACAGTAACGGATTACCTACATATAAGCCCATAGTGTAACATAAATTTAAGAAACATGAAGGGTGTGGGTGTGTGTATGTGAGTGCGGATCTTGGTAGAGATAAGCTGATTACCCACAGCCATCCTCAAGATTTAACTCAATTTGAGCATTTAGACTATAAAAACAAATATCTTCATATAACGTTTCAGCTATGTCTTATCTTTTCATTAAAATTTCGATTGAACTCAATTTGAAATTAGGTATACAAAAATTTCTTCATATGACTTTCAGCTATATATCTTCTCATTTGATTTAAATTTTGATCTTGAGGGTGTGGGCATGAGTATGAAGAGAGTATGATGTACGCATCCACCCACCCACACCTGTCCTTGAAGGGTTAGTGGTTAGATGTATGAAAAAGCAAATCATATTTTTTCTAGGATTCGTATTTTTTTTATCATCAAACGTATTATTAACCAAAATAACAATAACAAATAGAAAGAAATATATTCTTCAGAGCACATGAAAAAGTTAATAAATAGGAAAAATTCTAGATAAAATCATATAGGAAACATATTTTCGATGGATTCTTACGATGTTTATAATTAAATAATTTAATTTACGTTTTTCATGACCATATTGATCGCTATTGAACTCAGTTCATAATCTGATACAATATTTTAAATCCAATATCTATACCATAGCTAAAACCATTTTTATTATATTTTTTGTATATTATAGAAAGAGATCTGTAGACTCTTCGAATCATAAATATTTTTCAGTTATTGTAGTTATCTGATGTAAAAAACTATGTGAACAAGAATGTTTTGTAAATAATAATCTAATAATCATCTATTTATTTTAGCATAAGTAATCAACTAATATCTGATCTATTTGAATATTCATGTATTCCTCAACAGCAAAACTTATTCATAGAGTTACTAATATGAAATTGTAAGTAGAGATTAAAAGGTGCATGACTTCAAATTTTATTATCATGACGTAAATAACAATATATATGCTAAATAAAACTGAGACATTTACGTCAATATCTACGTCATAGACCACAGTATATCAACAATTTCAAAAAGAATTTATCAACTCACCTACTATATCACGAATGATTCAGAGAACCTGACATGCGTTACTATGATTCATCATCAATTGTAAACAATCATGATATTTGTTGTATGATACTAGATAACACATTTTTCTCTTCTTTAGTAAATAAAACTAAATAAGAACTGTGATTTCCTACATTATTAACCGCATGTGTAAGTAATAATATTTTTGATCTAGCAAATAATCGAATAGGTAAGGGATAGTTTTTCTGAGAATAATCGTATGTCTCATTTTCTTGTAATACATATGTTAATATTATTAAAAATTATTTTATTGAATGAAATACATAAGAATAATTTACATAATTATATAACTATAATCAATAGCAAAACAAATTTCATACGAACTCTGTCTATATCATAAAAAAATACAACGTCATTAAAACGTGGTGGTTTTTTTTTCTTGTGGCAAACAAAATTGTCGTTTTCTTGTTTTTTCTTTCATTCTTCTATTTAGGTAAGAATAGAAGCAAAAATAAAAAATAAAATACACAGCATGGTGTTGCCAAGCGTTGCATATATATATATATTTATATGTCTACACATATATATGTATATGAGAGAGTGACATAAAAACGTATGAAAAATATATTTGTAAAGCATCGTTCATATAGAAGTATCTTTGTAGTAAAATATTCTATTTAATTATTGAAGTATATTATTTATAACATATTTTCTTTTATAGAAGTTTTACATATAAATCTATTATTGAAGTATTATGTCGACAAAATCATCGACTTCATCTAAAAAATCAGCCAGTAAAAGACTTGGTAATTGGATTGATATGTTTATAAAATAATAAATAAAAATTTATTGTTTTAGGTAATTTTACAATTACTTGCCCTGATTTAACTGATGAAAAAAAAGAAGCAAGCACTTATACGTAAATATAATATTAGATTATTTGTCTTGTTCATAATATAAATATGTATAGTCTCGAAGTACCTTCATCATCAACAACACTCAATTATCATGGACAAACTATTGATGTTAACACACAACAATTCGATACTCTTCGTGTATTAGGACGTGGTTGTTATGGATATGTACTTGCTGTAAAAATTGATGGTTATCCAGATGTTCAAATGGCTGTTAAAGTAATAGAATAAAATTTATATATATTAGACAATTTCATTTATCATAGAGAATAGCACTTGAAACGAAAGAAGAACGTCAAGCATCAACATATACAGATTTAACAACAATTCAAAAAGTTGGTTCACATAATTATCCATATATTATTTCTTATTATGGAGCTGTTATCGATAGAGTAAATTATATTTTTATTTTTATTTTAAAAATAAAATATTTTTTAGGAAAGTAGTGAATTAGTTATTTGTGTAGAATTAATGGATGCATCACTGGATAGATTTTATCAAACAATGCATTCATTTGATAATGTTACCTATACAGAATTTGATCATGTTTTATGTCGTCTAACTCATAATGTAAAATATTTATTTATTAAAATATTTAATAATTTAATATATTTAACAGATAACATCAGCACTTCATTTTCTTAAAACTCATCGAATTTTACATCGTGATGTTAAACCACAAAATATGCTTGTTAATAAACAATGTGTATTTAAATTATGTGATTTTGGTATTAGTCGTCAAATGCGTATGTCTCAATCAATAGCTGTTGGTTCTGTTCAAGGAACTGAAGCTTATTTACCGGTGTGTAGGAAAAAAATTTATATTCTAATTTTTATTATCTATTATAATAGCCTGAATTAATTGGAGAAACTGGTCAAACTTATGGTATTCGAGCTGATATGTGGGCATTAGGAATGAGTTTGCTTGAGATTGTCACTGGAAAACAACCATTTGCAAATTTAAGTTCATTTCATACAATAACAGCTATTCGAACCTGGAATCTAACACTACCAGTAAATTCAAAAACTTCAAATGATATGAAACAACTTCTAACATATTTGTATGTTAATTTTATCTTGTTTTTTCTTCAACTATTTATTTTCGTTTTATCATTAGACTTAAAAGAACTGTTGAAGAACGACCAAAAACTTATCTTGAAATACTTGAAATACCATCGATACGAGATGTTAGTGAAAATCCATCAGATGAAGAAAAAGCATTTGTAATTCGTATACTCGATAATTTACTTCCATTAAATGAATAAATAGAAATATTTTAAATAAGGTGTTTTTTTTACTTAATAAAACTATAGTTCTTCGAGAAAAAAAATCATTGGCATTTTATTTTTAATTATTGATTTAAATAACAAGATTTTAGGCCTATAATCAAGAGGAAAGAAAATCGAGGCTTCATCAAAGTTCACTTGCACTCGATGTACTGAAAGTATGTGTGAAGTACAGGTAAAGTATGAGTGAAATACACATTCCTGAAGACTCGTTTTTCTCTGCTTGCCTATACCTAATTTTTGTATACTTGTTAAAGATGTTTAATTTTAAAAGAATAAAAATATTTTTCTTTTGGATTAATACTTCATTACTTTTAAGAACAAATGATTTTTATCACAATGTTGATTAGGTTCTTTCAGTAAAATAGAAACCTTTGCAATACAATTTCTATTTGTATCCTATTGAAAATATATATGAAAATCGTAACAATGTTTTATATTTAATATAAACTTTTGTAAAAAGTACTTTCGGTTAATCGTTTGTTTGTTTTTCTTTTCAAATATAAAAACAATACACACAAATATATATATACATTACACATTTAATCAAGAATTATATAAGAAGTGTTTTTGTACTATAAGTTGTTATAGATGAATCCGATGAAAATCCATATGTATTTGGTATTGGTGATGTTGCTGTTACTTCTTGTTTTGTTTCTAGTACAAGATTTTCTGTATGAACTCGTAAATGATCACCAAACTTTTTCAATGGTACCCATTTCATACAATGTTTCCATAGACATCGTTGAATCTTTTCGAGAGAAAGAAAATGAAAGCATATACATAAATTCAAAAATAAAAGAAATTTACTGTTGAAGAATGTTGTACATGAAAAAGTCGTGCATGAATAAAAACATCTTCACGACGAGAAAATGGTTGTCGACATGATGCATACTAGAATACAATATATAAAGATTTTTCTTTTCTATTCAAAAAAATAAAATCATTTGAATTTACTTCACATCTATATACTTGATTAATGTCACATTGTAAAATTTCAATTGTTCCACTTTCCATTCCGCAATAAACCTTTGAAAAAAACCAAAGAGATAAAAAATTTCGATTTATTTTATTTTTCTAAATATACAAGATTATTTTTATAAATCATTGAAATAATTGATTGACTTGTTGATGTTGTTAATTGTTGAATTAATTCATGTGTTTGAATATTAAATATTTTGATAAGACCATCAAGTGATGAAGCAATTAATAAATTTTGTTGTTGATTCATTGCAATATTTGTTACAGCTTTTTCAAATTCTTTATATTCATATATAATTGTACCGTTTAGAAAATTATGTACAATGATTTTTTTATCTGCTGAGCAACTATATAGAAAATGATGAACTGAATCAATAATTAATTGACGTGGAGATTTTGTATGGCCTTATTGAAAAAAAAATAGAATTTCTATATAAAATAGAAACAAAAAAAATACCTGTTAATGTTAATCGTCGTTGTTCATTAAGTAAAGAAATAACAACTATAGATCCATCGAAAGATGATGCAATTAATAAGTGACGACCATCTGGATCACGTGTAGCTGCGACTGCTGATACAACATAGGGTGAACATTTAATTGTATGTATAACACACATCTATAAAATATAAATAAAAAATAAAGAAAGAAAAATCGAATTTTAATTTTACCTTTTTTAATGAAATAAATGCAACTTCACCTGAACCTAATCCAACCATTAAAATATGAAATTTAACAGCTGTACAATGAACAGGAGCAGCAAGCATTATTTCGCCTTTGGATTCATGTGATGGATGATCACGATATAATCTGACTGTTTGATCAAAACCAGCTACACATAATATTGTACCACCAAATCGTTTACAATGTGCTACTTGTAATGTTTGTGTACCACCATTTGGTGTAAATATTGGTTGATGTCGAGGATGTTCTGTAAGTGTTTGAGTTTGATAAAATCGTACTTGACCATTTAATGAACATGAATAAAGTAAACCACGATACATACGTAAGCAAACAATGGGACTTTGATGTTTTGTTAACATAATACCAGCACGTGGTTGTTGATATTTAGTACGTTGATGAGTTTTACCTAGTCGACGACGATGCATTATACGCCAAGCTTTATAATAATTAACTTTTGGATAATATTGTATAGATGATATTTTCGTTGATATTAATGGATTATGACCAGGACGACGACGTTTAAGTACATTACCGAGAATCTCAGGACCAACATGTGATCGAGCAGTTGTACGAAATAAACCTGAGCATGTACCAAGTAAGAAATCAATAAGTTGTGGACCTGATATAGTAATTAAGTCATAGGATAGATCATCATCAACTCTCTAATTTAATTTACAAAAGAAAAATAATATTAAATTTTTAGTATTAACAATTATTCTCATTAGATTTTGTATATACCTGTTCAGCTGATATTCGTTGAAGTTGATCACGTACAAAGAAAACTTTCATTTCAAGGGGCATTGTTTGTTCTAATGGTTGTTGTAAATTTCTTGAATTTTTTATTGATTTAGCAAACAATTTTCGTCTCATTTTATCCAGATCTTTTCGTTCAACAAAATGATGTTGTAATTTTGATTTTTGAGCGATTTGTAAACATAATTGAGAGAGAAGATCACGACCACGAGGGGATGATAATGAACCAAGAAATGTACAACGAAGTGAAGATGATGAAGCGGATAGACCATGATGAATCGTGCTACCTGTAGTTTCCATTTCGGACATGGTTATTGTTGAATGATTTAAACAATTCAAAAGATTTTATTACGATTACGATTAATTGTCTTAATAATAAATACAAGAAATATGAACGGTCAAGTCAAGTCAAATCTGTTGCAACTCACGAGAAGAATTGGTTGTAAACTACCAATCAGTATTATGTAAAATACCTCGACATTAGTAAAATAATTAATGTATCGAATAATTCCAAGTTTACATGTATTTTTGTCACGTTTTTATATTAATTAATGAAATAGACCCGTGTTGGAGTAATTAGAAATAATTAAACTATAAAAAAAAAGTTAATATGTTTTGAATTCGAAAGATGGCGCTCATTTCATTGAATGATTATCATCGCTATCTGGCTGATGTAATGAAATGTAATTTTGTCAATCGAAATTTGCTTGAATAGTACTTTTTTCAAATGAGAATCTTCCTGATATCGAAATAAAGATCGCATAATGCTAGATTGATATATTCTCAGTATTTCATGAATCTTCATTAAAGTCTATATTCGGACATGAGAACTACCGGTGATTCAATAATATTATTATTATTGGTTTTGGAAAGTGAAGGTGTTGATTATGGAACCACAGCTGCATTATTTTCGCATATTCGTGCAGGTGTATTATTTATTAATAGCAACGAAGATAAGAGTATGTCTTTTTCTATTTATATTCGTTGTTGTTTTCGATCAACCATAGCATAATCCGTAAATAGTACAATGCATACAATATTCTTTGTTCTACTGATTTTCCAACTCTTCTTCTATTCTCATCAACAAAGTACGTATTATAGAAAAAAACTAATAAACAGTAAATAAATAGCTTTGGAAGAACATTTGTATAGGTGGACAAGGGTTACTTGCTCTTGGAGATTCATTTACATCTGGTGGTGGTTTACAATCATATCCACATGTTGCTGCTAATCTATTAAATTGGCAAGTAGGTAATTTTGCCGTAGGTGGATCAAAAACAACCGATATATGGTTACAATTATTAAGAGCCAGTAGTGTATTGCATATGGCAACACACGTTGTATTAACAATCGGTGGTAATGATCTTGAAGGTCTTCAAAGTTTAGCAGGTATTGCTCACCTTAATATGACATTATTTGAAGAGAGATGTGCTAATTTTAAACCAAAACTTGTATCAACTTATAAACAAATTAAATCTTCTCTTCGTGCTGATGCAAAATTTTATGCTTTACCGTATGTCGATTTTGTTAGCGTTGGTAATAAAATTCCATATGAAGCTGAATCTCATCGAGTAATGCAAGCAATGAACAATTTGGTTAGAAATGCAGCAATTGAAGCTAATGTTAATTATGTAGATACTATAGTCTCAGCATTTCTTGATCATGAAATGTATTCAACTGATTCATACATTGATGATTTTAGTCATCCAACAAATCCACTTCATCCAAATTTAAAAGGCTATGCTAAAATTGGAGAAGTACTTGCTGCTTATTTACGAGCAAACTAATGAAAAATTAGTTTTTCTTTTCTTATTGTTTTTTTTCTGCTAGTACCAATAAAGAAAACGTAAATATATAACTTTAAAGACACATGCATTTTGTTTTTATATCAAAATGATAACAAAAATTACAGAAAGATTTTTGGATATGTGTTATGAATATGTACAAACAATACTTTACACATAAGGAAGAAAACAGATTTAATAATAATAATGCCTATTATTTATCAATAAGATTACATTGTGTTGAAGTTTCATTATATGATTTTCCGGAACATAACCAACATCCAGATAAAATTGGTTGATTAATAAATGTCATGAGTTTATCTTGATTTGTATGTAATTGTTTTTTTTCTTCTTTATTTAACATTGAAATAACATATTTTCGTAATTTTCTTAAATGTAATTGTTGTTTTTTAATATGTTTTAGAACATGATTCATTTTAGCCATTTGATCTTCATTTGTCATTGTATTTGCTGATGTGTTTTTTACTAAATCAATTAATTGTGAAGTTTGATCAGTTTCATCTATGTTACATTCCAAAATCCAATCAGATGATAATTCATGATTATCAGAATTATTTACAGTTGAGATTTTTTTCGATTTTTTTTCTCTCAATAATTTTTTATGTAATCGTTTTTGACGCTTTGCTTCTTTTCGTTGTTCAACATCAGCAGTATCAAGTTCATTAATTAACACAGTACATTGTCCATTGAGATCTTCTTGATTTTGTGGAATCAATTTTTCCGTTGTTGAATGTTGAGATGGTAAAGAACGAAACGGAGGAGAATATGGAGGAAGTTGTTCTTCATTACAATTGTCGATCAGAAATCCCGAAAAAGATGAAGTTTCAACATGATTTGATTCACATTCGACGTTCGTCTATTCAATAAACAAAATTTTATCCTTATAGATTTTATTACTGAATATACATACGGATGATGGTATATTTAAATATTCACTAGATGTTGATTGAAAATCATTATTAAATAAAAGTTCTTCTATTGCACAGGTATCAGTATGATGATTACTATTATTTTCTATTGTATTAGTTGAATGAGATGTTTGATTACTAGCAAAACGTATTCGATCAAAACTTGACAAATTCATTGATGATTTTTGTTGATTTGGTAAACGAAGAATTGTTTCTAAATATTGTGTTTTTTGTTCATTACTTTGATTTATCTTCGTTTTTTTTATTGAACGAATCCATGATTCACGTTCATATGGTTTAACCGTAAGTATTGTTGATGAAGAAATTGTTTTCATAGGCATTAATGGTTGTGGTGTCGCTGGTAAATATTGATTAGAAAAATCCGTATGATTTTTTGTAGTTAATCGATTATTAAAAGATAAGATCGGTTCATGTTGTCGATGACATTTTTTTCGTTGATTATATGGATGACAACGATTTTTACCATCCATTTTATTCATATCTAATAGATAAAAAACAAATTATTCTTTCTTAATTATTTTCATTATTAAAAATCGAAACAAAATGAATAAATTTTATTTCTTTCTTAACCAGTCGAATTGTATAAAAAAAGAAGAAGAAGATTGAAGATACACACAAATGACAAACAAAAGTGGTAACAATAATAAATTCTTATCTGTATTTACACACGTGTAAAAATGTCCAACATATGTAAAGGCGATGAACACGGAGAACAAAAAAAACAAAAATAGAATGTTTTACAAATGTTAAAAATGCAAAATCAATTCATTCTAAGATATATTATTTTGATAAGAGAGAGAAGAAGAAAGCCAGAGATTCTATCAACAAGAAAAAACTTCCTACAAACTAAAAAATGAATAACATCTGTATTGAAGATTATAAATAATGCACAAATAGAAAAATCATTCGTATAAATTTTCTTTGATTATAAATCATTTATTGATACATATCGTAAACGTTTATGTAATGATGGTGAATCTTCATCGATAACATATGAAAAACGATATTGATCAGAATTTATTGAACTTGTTTCACGATCATAACGAACATATAAACAATCATCTGTTGTATTTAATAAACGTTTTTCAGTTGAATTTGATAATTTAGGAAGAATTATAGTCGATGGTTTTGTTGATAAATTTGATTTTAGAGTTGATGGTAGGACAATTAAAGTTTGTTTTGGTATGGATGGTTGACTAGATATCGAATCTTTTGAAAATATTTGTGGTGATCGATTATTAAGTATTGTATTAAATGATGGTAACGATTCAGATGAATTAATAACAGTTAATTGACGAGAAACAAATTGAGAAGATAATGATGAGGAAGAAGAAGAAGACATAGTTTGATAATGAGTTGATGTTGATTGTGAAGGATTATGAACTACATAAGATGAGATTGGTGTTGATGAACGAGAATTTAGTACTAAAAAAATTAGATTTATAATGACATGAGAGGTCAAAATATGCAAGACAAACTAATTTCTGTTTCATTCATGGTCTTGACTCTATTGCTTTCAGTCACTACGAACTTTCTCGACTATACGCATGAGTCCAACAAAAGGAATTTTCGAACGATTACCGTAAAATATGTGTGCAATACCGTTACAGTATATTATAGATGTCTATTTATGTAAGTTCGAAGGATAGAAGAGTATAAAACAGATATACCTACATATTCACATTATTAATAGACAAAAATCATGCGATACATAACGGTATGTTTTTTTTCTTTTCTTTTCTTTTCAAAAAAGTTCAATAATACTATCCTATGAATATGTTAAGATTAGTTTACTTGTTGAATTATTGTTTAGAGATGAAGATTGTTGTGGTTGTTGTTGTCCGGCAAGATAAACAGTTTGTGATGGTTGATAATATGTTTGTTGAGATTGAGATAATGATGAATTATTATTATATCCTCCACTAGCTAATGCAGCAAGTACAGCTGCATTTGTATTTGAAGAGGAATTATCAATAGAAGAATTTTTTGTTGATATATTTCCATTTGTTAATAAACGTTGTTGTTGTTGATTTATTGATGATGTATAATTTACATTATTTTGTGATTGTTGATCATATGTAAGTAAATTTTCATTTTGTTGATGATTTGTATTATGTAAAATTGACATTGTTTGTGATGTTAATGCATCTGTATTAAAAATAAAATTTGGTGATGTTGGTGACGGTGATGGTGATGATGATATATGTTTTGATATCATTTGTCCAGATGGGATTTTATCACCATAAGGTTTAAGTGTTTCAGCGGATAATTCTGAAAATGGTTTATTACTAATACGTATAACTGTTTTTTGTAAAACATCATCGATATCTTTTATTTTTATATCGGGAAATGTTATTTCAGCTTCATTTAATGAATGTAATGTACCATTAACAAAATCACGTAATTTTCTTAAACCAATATAAAATGGTAATTTATCTTCAGCACGTGGTAATTGAGAACAACGAGCACTTGATGATGGCATTACAAAAACATGCTATGAGAAAAAATAGATTTTAATTTTTAACGTCAACTCTCAAGTATTAGAATTACTTACAGTATCTGTTCCTGGAAATAAATCCGGTTGTTTTCCATAATGAAAATGTTTATTTCCAGCATAAACTTCATAAATACCTCGTCCATTAAATGCAACAATTTTTGGTCTATACATTTTGATTTTTTGCATTAAAGTTTCTGCACCAGCAGTTATTTCATCTCTATAATATATATATATATAAATCAAGAATTCAAAATATAATATTTCTTATATTACTTCGTTATATCTGATCCAGCTTTTGATGGTCTTTGTACAATATTTGTAAAACCAATACCATATTGTGGCATACGATAATCATCATTAGCATTTAATATATTTGGTATTAAACCAGACATATGTAATAGTTTCCAAAAATGATTTCCTGGTCCACCATAATGATGTTCTTTATGTACAGCAAGAAGACTTGGATTAATTCCAACCTATTACAACAACAAAAAAAGAAGTATCGTTACATATATTTAAAGGAAAATTAATAATAGATTTAATTACAAAAACAATATCAAGATTTATTTGAAGAATATCTTGAAGAAGAGGTTTAATTGATTCATCTTCAATTGTAACATCCAAACGATTTGAATTTGTCGATAATGTAGAAGATTTTCTTTTATTATTTACAATTGTCGTCGTTGTTGTTGTTGTTGTTGGAGATTGTGGCGAAAGATTTTTATTAGTTATTGTTGATATTGATGGTAATAATGGAGTTGAAACAACATTCATTACTGGAGATATCATTGTATTTCGAGATGATGATGATGATGATGATGGCATTTCAGATAAATGATTATCGATATCAAGATGAATTCTATTTAAACGAAAAAGATTTTTGTATTTTGTTTTTATTTAGAAAAATGAATATACTCTTGAGATTTGGTTTCATTCTCAGTATCACGTTTGAGGGATTGTCTTAATTTAGCAAGAAATACTTCAGCAACTTCATCCGAACCTAATGAACTTTTTAAAGCACTAAGAAAAAAGAAAATTTATGTAAACAAAAAAAATATAAATATGTTTCGATAATTACTTAAGATCACCACCAGATTCTAAATTTTTTTTAAATGTTTGCATTAAAACATTTTTAACACTATCTAATGCTTCATCAAGAAGTTCTTTTGTATGACTAAATAATAATAAAAAGTTGTCTTAAGAAAAATTTTTTTTTCATATTGATTTATTTACGTTTCAGTTGTTTGTTCTAATGAAGATGTTGTTATTTGATTTTGATTCATATTTGATGATTTATATAATGTATCATTATGACCATTAATATGTATTGTTGATGATATTTCATTTGATGTTGTTGTTGAACAATCTTGTTGTTCATTTGTTAAATATTCAGTTGACATGAATTTTTTTTGTTGCTATTTATTATTTCATGTTGTTAATAATTGTTGTTTTTTATCTATATTGACGGATTTCTAAACAAATATAACGAACACTAAATAGAGAGAAAGATATAATTGAACTATATATTATAGCCAATTGTATTCGTTGACAAGAGAAAAGAAAAATAATCGAGAGAAAAGAACAAGAAGAAGAAGAAGAGAAAAAAAAAAGGAAACCGTACATTCCAACTCAAACAAGCCGGATATGTCTGTTTGACTAAACATATATGTATATAAGAAAGAGAGAAAAAAAAAAGTATACAAGGTTTATGTTAAAAGGTGTAAAATATCAAATTACTCGATAGATGAATTTACTGTTATATTTTATTAAAAAAGTATTTCGATAAATTTTAAGAATTATTTATTCAATAAAAAAGAGAGAAATTCGAACTACAATTTGTTCTTACAGATGAATGAATAGATGTAAAGCAAAAGAAGAAACTATAGTCTTTTTGCTTGAATAGTTTTCTATGATGATAAGATGAAAATTGAATTATTATCTAATTAATAATATATAAAAGAAAAATCAATAGATTTTATTCAATGTTTGAGATTAATATTAAGATAGAAAATTTATTTTTTATCTGAGAGATTTTCGAATAAGTTTATTAATGTGTTAAAACGTAATATACTGTTATAATTGGATATTTTTTTAGAAAAGAAAAGATTCGAACTATCCTAAGGATATTGACTTGATTTTTTTCACTTACATATTTAGCTGAGATGAACTAGATATTCTAATAAGGATAAAAAATATAATATAATTCATTGTATACTTTGTATTATATTTATTATTGTGATTTACATTGGTATTAAGAAATAAATGATAAGGAAACTGAAATTTCATCTTCTATAGTTTCAGTGAATAAAAAACTATTAATATAGATGTTGAATGTATTATACAAACGATTGTAGGACACAATAGAAATTAATTATTAGGAAAAAACATCTTTGAATTTAAATGTTATTATATATCGAGATTATTGATTATTTTGTTCTAATTGAATAGTATTGTATATATTTTTTATGCATTTATTTCGACAACTTTGGTTATATATAATTTGATTTATTCTTATATTTTGACTTTTCATATGAATAGATTATTTAAAACTTTCGAAAGAAATTTTATATGTTAGATTTATATAAAGATTAAGAAAGAAAACAAAATTTCTTGTTTTTGTTTTTTTATATTAATCATTTTGATTATATATATACACATATGATGATATTAGACGAAAAAAATCATAATCGGCGTAAAAGTGAAATAATAAAAAACAAAATAAAATTCAATTAATTGATTTTTGTTATTCAGAAAAAAAATAATAAAGAAAACGAAACAAAACGTTCTCTTTTTTTTTTCCTTCGTCCATATTTTAACTAATGTCACATTATATCAACCATATCCAATGATGACTGAACTCTATATATCGATATGATAGATGGTGCTTGAATAATAAAAAATAATGAAAAAAATCTATTTTTATTAAAACATCAATCATCGAAAAATTAAAAAAACATTTTTTCTTAACTTTTTATTTACCTATAATATAAATATGTATATAGGAACTAATGATCAATGGGTAATTTCTTCTTTTTTTTTATTCATAAAGATGAAGGTAAAAGTCGTATCTGATTCATAGTCATATCGTTCTCTTCTTTCCATCGACGATAGACGCGCATCTCTATATCCACGTGAAATTACGGAGGACATTACTTATTACATAGTAAATCTTTTTTGTTTTGTTTTTGTTGCAGATGTTTTTTGTTATTTATCTTTGTTAACAAATATGAAAATTGATCGATCGAAGTTAAAAAAATATCTGCCGGAACCAGTAAGGAAGAAAATTATTTCAATAAAAACTTTTTTTGTTTATTTATTTATTTGTTTGTTTTTTTCCCTATCTTCCATCTAGCCGGCTGATTGTAAATTATTTATTGATAAATTAAAAAGTTGTGATCGAAAAGAACTTCATGACCTATTAAAACCAATAACTATATGGCATATTGGAAAAGTATGTTTTCATTTATATAAACTAAAAAAGAATTTTTTTCTATACTCTCGATTTAATAGTTAATTAAAGTTAGTTCATTGATATCTTGTGCTTATGCATTTATTTTGTTTTTATTTTATTCGTTTAAATTCTTTAAGAAATTCTATTTTTTATTGTTTTATTCTAGTGTGAACTATACCATTGGATTGATGCATTGGATTTATTCGATGCAATTCTAGAAGAAGCTTGTATAAAATCTGGGACATGGATGCTCAATTGTGACAAACCAGAAAATGCAGAGGTTTGTTAAACTAGAAAGAAAGAAGCCACATTTGTTAATATAATTAAAAATTCTAATATGTAGTATTTGTCGCCTTTGGCATTAATTTATATTTTCATTTTTTTTAGTTAAAAATCTTAGTACTTGATATTCTTCATTTTACTGCATTATTAATTGAACATTCATATTCTCGTCATTTATATAATTCCATTGAATATCTAATTATGTTATTACAATCATCTGATGTACATATTGTACTTGGTGTTCTTTCACTTCTATATGTATTCAGTAAACGTTCAAACTTTATCACAAGACTTCAACTTGATAAAAAACAAGCATTAATTGGTCGACTTATATTCTTAGCAGAAGTAAAATTATTATTATTTTTTATGCTTATTAAGAAAATTTTATTTTTTAGACTTGGGGTGGACGTGAGAATGGTTTCGATTTAGCTCGTTGTTGTAGTGTTCGAAATCCTGCAGTAAAAAAAAGATTTATTTCATTGATTATTTTTTCATTGATTCATTTCATAGGATTTTCCTGAACACGCAACAAATCTACATTTTGCATATACAGTTCCTTCTGAATCATCAACAATAAATGGTCCAACAATGGTAAAAAATAAATATTCTTTTGATTAGAAAACAAAATGATTTTTATTTATTTTAAGCAAACTCCTAAACAAATAGAAATTCCAAATGTTCATTTAGCTGGACCAAATGCTGCTGCCGTTATGGAAATAGTTCTTGCTCAACATACATTACCTGAAGATAAACAAATCAAATTATTCACTCATCTTCGTTTAGCTTACGCATTTCCATCATTTGATCAACGTTTACTATGTATACAAGCACGTTTACAAGCATTATCTATACTTGGTAAGATTTTCTATATATATATTCATTAATTTGTTTTGTTTTCCAGTTTATTCTGCTGCAATACAAGAAGCAAATAATGTTCTCTATGATGGATTAATTGAGGAACTTGTTGAAGTCTTAAATGTTCGAGATTCAACATTAACAGTAAGTTTAGAAAATTTATCTTGAAGAGTTTTATTAGTTTTGAATAATTTATTTTCATTTATGATAATCTTAAAAAGATTAGTAAAATCCTATGAAATGAACTATACTGTCTTAGACTTTAATATGCCTAATGATGAAATTACATATGATATTTCATAGAAAAATGATACATTACTTTTTTGTTTTAGGATATAAAAGCATCCGCTTTAAAAACTTTAACATCAATAATTCATCTTGAACGAACAACCAAGTATATGAGTTTATAATAAAAAAAATTAATTAAAATTTTTATTTTGTTGTAGACATCCACCACGTTTACAAGAGATAATTGAAGCAACACAAGCAAATTCCTATCATGGATTTTTACCAGCACTTGTACGACAATGTATTGATAAATTAACTGGTAAATAAATATAAGAAATAAGAATGAAATTTTCCTATTTTATTTTTTGTTTTAGATGATAGTAATGAAAGGTTTCCTCAATCATTATCAACCGCATTATTTTCATTTCTTTATCATTTGGCATCCTATGAAACAGGTGGTGATGCATTGGTTAATTGCGGTATAATGCAATCATTAATTAAAGTAGTTAATTATTATGATGAATCTCAAGATTTTATCATGGTAAAATTTTTTATTGAATTGATCTTTTTGTAAATAATATAATTTTTTTCGAAATTTTCAAGTTTGTTACAAGAGCTGTACGTGTTATTGATTTAATAACAACATTAGATATGACATCGTTTCAAACAAATAATGGTTTACAAGCCTTTATTAATCGTTTAGAGGTATGTTTATTTTATTTGAATTGTTCTAGTCATCGAAAAATGTCAGGTCACATGTACAAGCTCCTATCGAAGCATTTCTATGATAATATAGTGATTAGAAGTGTCAATGTGTGAGCAATAATATTCACTTGAAAAGAACGGTCGCAATTTATATCATAAATATATAAATAGCATTACCACCTTGTCAAACAGCTAAAATTAAATTTTTTTTAAATTTAATTAATTAATTTAATTGAAAAATTTTTTTTCTTCTAGCATGAAATAACACAATGTCGAAAAGAACAACCATTTATAATTCGTATACCAAAACGTAATCAAGGTACACCAACAGCAAATCTTGATACACATCCTCCATTATCTCCAAGTGCTCAATCAGATATCTCAGGAGAACATCCATCTTTAACAACACAAAATTCAACAGTACATTTATCGAAAGATATGGATACAAGTGAATTTATAGAAGAAAATCATGATTCAATACCACAAAATCCTATACCAGGTTTAACATGTTATCATCAACGTGCTGCATTACTTAAATCAATATTAAATTATTTAAAAAAAGCGTTTACTGAACCAACAATGGCTGATACAACACGGCATATTATGGATGGTTCATTACCAAATTCATTAAAACATATAATAAGTAATGCGGAATATTATGGTCCATCATTATTTCATTTAGCAACTGATGTTGTTACATCATTTATATTTCAAGAACCATCACAATTATCATCTTTACAAGATAATGGTTTAACTGATGTATTAATGCATGCACTTTTAAAAAAAGATGTACCAGCTGCACGTGATGTTTTAGCATCATTACCAAATATATTTAGTTCATTATGTTTAAATACACGTGGTTTAGAAAATTTTATGGAATATAAACCATTTGATAAATTATTTCGTGTACTTTTATCACCTGAATATTTACCAGCTATGAGACGAAGACGTGGAACAGATACGATCTATGGTACAGCATCAAGTCTTGGTAATGCTGTTGATGAATTAATGAGACATCAAGTTAGTTTACGTACAGAAGCAATGAAATCAATTATAACATTACTTGAACAACTTGTTGAATTAGGAAATAATCCGAAATATTGTTGTCAAAAACCACATTCATCATCATCATCAACAACAACAAGTAAATTAGCAGATACAATACGTACACAACATCGAACTGTACGTACAACAAATACAACAAATACAAATACAGCAGGAAATGATAGAAATTCATCCGATGATGAATATGATGATGATGAAGCAACGAATGATGAAGCACCATTAGCTAATCGATCAGTTATACCACCATCAGCATTATCAACATCATTGACAACATCAGCAGCAGGAACAACAATAATACAACCAACAACAACAGCAATGAATACATCAATATTAACAACAACAACAAATGAATTAGCAACTAATATTCCAATACTTCTTAATCAAACTTTATTAAGTGAAAATAAATCTGAAGATGAAACAATTCCAATAGCTGTACCATTATTAGATTATATAACCAATATAATGCGTTTTGTTGAAGGTGTTATAAGTAATAATACAACAGATGATCATGGCAAAGAATTTGTTAAATTAGGAGGTTTAAAACCTTTATTAGATATATTACAAATGAAAAATTTACCGATTGATTTTCCATCAAGTCAAGCATGTCAATGTGTTGCGGCACTTTGTAAATCAACACTTACACTTTTAGTTAAAGATAATAAATTAATTGAAATGGTTATAACAAATCTTGATACAATATTAAATTCTTTAACAGATTTCTATTCAAATCGTACATATGATGGTTCATTATTAATAGAAGAATTAGCTCGTGCTGTATCATCATCAACACCATCAATAGATCCAATTGATGCGATTAATCAATCATCATTAACACCAACACTTCATCAATTATCTATTGTTCATTCACATATATCATTATTAATATCATTATGTAAAATAACACAAACAGAAGTTCGAAGTATATTAATAAGTTTTTGGGGTGCTGAAACAGGTTTACGTGTATTAAAAAATTTAAATAAATTATGTTTAACATTAATATGGGAAAGTTCAATTTTATTATCATTATGTTCATCGGAAACAAATATGATGGATCAACAATTTAATAAAAATGATCTATTAAAATTATTTCCATTAATCAATGATATAACAAATACAATATCACCATTACATAATGTATCAACACAATTAAATGATTTAACAACAAATGAAATAACACGACAATTTGATATTGATGAAATCATGTCAATGGATACAAGTGATTTTACCAAATTAAAATTAAAATTATCATTTAATATACAACAACGTATTAAAACAATCAAACCATTATTATGTGTTTCATCAAAACTTGGTCGAGCATTAGGTGAATTATATAATTTACTTGTTCGACAATGTTCAACATCACAAATGAGACATGCAAGACGTTTTAATCAACAACCAACAGCATATACACCAACAGCAGCTGCTAAATTTGTTGCATCAACATTAACTGAAGTATTACGTGATGGATTTTCATTTCATTTACCAGCAAATAATAATTTAACTGAAAGTCAAATAGAAAAATTTCGTTTAACATTTTTTGTTTGTACAATTGGTTTTGCTATTCCAATGTTATTTGATGAACGTCGTCGTCCATATATGTTAATGTTACAACAATTTGAATTATCAAAAGCTCAAGATGCATTATTTTCTGCGCTTGAATGGACACTTGATTTAATTAATCGACAATCATTAATAACTGATGAACAACAATTATCACAATTAAATAATACATATGATGCATCACCAACAGAATTTCTTAATTCAGCATTAATGCTTATATTACGTTTAGTTAATGTTAAATCAATACTTGAATCACCACATTCAATACCTAAAAAAGCTCAAACAGAACGACAATATTTTATACCATTTAATCCATTACATTATTTAGCATTAACACATAAATGTGCATTTCATATATTAACAAATTCATGTTCAGTTCTATGGGATAAACCATATTTATTAAAAGATCATGCAACTAAAATTATTGATAGTATATTATCAATTTTTTGTCATATTTTACGTGGAGAATCACAAATACAAAAGAAACTTCAAGATGAAGAACAAGTACAACAAAATGTACCTGTACCAACATCAGCTCTTCCAACAAATGACACTGCTCCACAACAACAACAAGTACAACAACCACCAGCACCACCACAACCACAACAACAGCCGCCACAGCCGCCAGTAGCAACAGATACGGATGTCGCTGGTTCATCAATATTAAACTCAACTGAGGCTGCACGATTAAATGAAGAACGTATTCAATCAATAACATCGATGGGTTTTTCACGTGAACATGCTATTGAAGGTTTATTACAAACAAATAATAATCTTGAATTAGCTGTTGATTATTGTGTTAGTCATCCACAAGCTGTTATAGCACCACAAACACAAACAACTCTTCCAGATATGGATACTGATATGGCACGTGCTTTACTTTTATCATTAGGACAAGAAGTTGATGAAGCTGCTTTAGCTAATCCAATTGCTGCATTAGCTGCTTTATCAAGAGATAATAATAACGCAAATGAAATTAATGTAAATCCGCCTTCAAATCCTAATCCTGAATTATCATCATCGTCAGCAGCATCAACAATAGCAGCGGCAGTAGCAGTAGCAGCAGCAGCAACAACAAATCCAAATGCTTCGATATTACTTGAAAATTTAAGTCAACAAAAACTTCTTCTACCAACAATTGAACCATTATCAAAAGAATCTGTTGATCGTTTTACTGATTCTATAATGTTAAAAATTCTTGATATTTTACCTGATACTGTTTATAAAATGTGTGAACTTGTTGTAACAACAATGCATCGTAATGGTATATCATGGCGTGATCATTTTCTTGAAATCATTGCGAATGATATAAAAACAAGTTATTATTCATTAATTGATTTATTAGATAAAACATCATCATCATCATCATCTCAAGATGATCAACAATCAACAATGATATTTTTAAATGATCATCAAAATTCTGTTTTATTTAGTCGAACATTATTAATGTCATTATTATTTGAAGAAATGCCATTTCCATGTGCACGTATTGTTGAAAAATTTTCATTAATTAATTTCTTTTGTATATTAATACATCGTACAACAAATTATTTAATAAAATTAAATGAAAAAAAAACTCCAACATGGTTAGCACCAGCATTTATATTTCTTGATTTATATGAAAAAGTTTCATTAGCATCAAAACGTCGTTCAATTATAAATGAAAATTATCGTGAATGTACACGTGTATGGCAATGGTTTGATGAACGTGCTGTTCGATGGAATAATTATCCATCAATACAAAATAAACAAATTGATGATGCATATGCAAATGGTGAACCATCATGTAAAATAATAATACAACGACGAAATTATCTTATACAATTTAATACCATGTTACAAACAAATGAAGATACACATAATAAACGACCAATTATGCTTACATTTGTTAAATTAACACCAAAAACAAATTCCGATGGATCAACACAAGTACCACCACCACCGCCACCAACATTATCATCTGTTTTTTCAACATCAGATACAAGTGATGATGACGATGACGATGATGATGATGATGATGACGATCATGATCATGATCAACATGGACGTGGAATATCAACAGGTCCTATAGAAACGAAAAAAGTTGAATCTATGGATACAGAACAACAACAGCAAACACAACAACCACAAATTGATACAACAATATCAGTTATTGAATCATTAGCAGATGAACATGCATTAGTATTAACAAGTGATTGTGTATATTTAATACGTATGCCAGTTGATCCTGATGCTATTCATGCATTATTACGTCTTATATTACGTTTAACACGTGATTATAAATATGCTCGACAATTTGCTCAATCTGGTGGTATACAAGCAATATTAAGTTTAACACAAACATCAGCATTTCAAGGTTGTGCATCATTAATAACATTAATATTTCGTCATATTATGGAAGATGATAGTAATTTACGTTTAGCTATGGAAAAAGCTATACGACAAGCATTAACAGGTAATCATGGTGGATCAATTGGTGTTCAACCTGCTTGCCCTGGTTCACATGAACTTAATGTTATATTACGAATACTTGGTCCAGCTATGACACGTGCACCAGATATATTCTTAGATGTTGCATCGAATGTTTTACAATTATCACCACCATCAGCTAGTCGTTTAGCAGGTTCAATGAGTCGTTTTACAAATCCATTTATAACTGAAGATGAACATCATATACAAACAAATTTACCAATAGGTCCATTAATATTACAAGCACGACCAGCAACAAGTCAAACAACAACGACACCAACAGCAGCAGCAGCACCGACACCAACAACAGTCGTAACAGGAGGATCAGGATCCGGATCAACAATAGAACAAAGTTCTCAAACACGTTTAGTTCGACCTGCAGCAGCAACAACAACAACAGCGGCAACAACACAAGATTCTGCTGGAGAATTAGCTGAACGTTTATTAGTTGATTTACTTGATTTTCTTCTTACGAATGATGATGCAAATCCAAAACGTTTACTATCCAAATCTACTGTTTTACGTATATTAGCTGAATTAATACGTTCTTATGCTAATGTTGCTAAACTTGTATCAACAAAAACATTTTCATTACAAGAAAATCAAACATGTTCAGCATTATCCTATATACTTGATTGTTTATTACCTGGTACAAATAATCAACAATTAGATTATGATAAAGATATTCCAGCATTATGTCGTCTATTTCTTGTTGCTATGGCTGCATGTAATCATTGTTTAGAATCTCAAATGAATTTAGTTAATGAAGTTAAAATGTCATTAAATAAAATATTGATTTTACCTGAATGTGATGAAAAACATATGAGATTACAAGCATTAGCTAATATAATTAATACAATGATTGAATCATGTCCAGCACCAAATACATCACAACCACAACAAGGACAACATCGTTTACCACAATTAATTATAAATAATATGATTAAAATCATGTATAAACGTGGTTTAATTAATGATTTAGCTAAAATGATACATAGTATTGAATTATCAAGTTCAAAATTAGCTGATACAGTTAATGCTGTTCTTAAACCAATGGAAACATTATCACGTGCAATTAATTATGCAACATCATTACATGTTCCAGCTGCTTCTCGTCCACATACATCAAGACATCCAACAATAACAGCAACAAATCAAACAAGTACTTCAACTAATCCACCATCAACAACAGCAATGACAACTACACCAGCAACAACAATAACAACAGATTCACTCAGTTCTATTCAAGATCAAATGTCTCAAGATCAATTAACAAGAACAATAATTGATTCATTACAATCTGCTGCAGAACAAGAGCAACAACAACGACAACAAAATCAACAACAACAAAATCAACAACAACAACAGCAACAACATCAAACATCACAAGATTCTACACTTATATCTACGAATGAAGAAAATCGTTCATCATTAGATAATACAAATACAAATAATAATAATACATCACTTAATTCAGCTAATCAAGTTTTATTAAGTATTAGTCAAGAAGAATTATTAAATGCAACTGATATGGAACCAGTTGCTGGTTTACCACAAGATGTTGATATATTTGAAAGAAATATGCATGGAGCAACTAGACTTTCAACTGATGATGATGATGAATGTGATGGAGATGATGATGGAGCAAGTATTGAAGATGAGGATGATGAAGATGATGATGATGGAGCTGTTGGAACAATTAATGTTGAATTTGATGTAGCACATCCACTTGATGATACACATGAACATGGTATATTGAATAATTGATAAATAAATAAAACAATAAATTTCTTTTCTTCTATTGATAGCTACTAGTTCAAGTTCTACAACAAGTGGTGATCAAGAAGATGATGATGCAGAAGAAACCGATAGTCCAGATGAAGATATCGATATGGAAAGTGCTAATGGAAATGATCGTGAACCACAACATCGGTTTGTTTTTTTTTAATTTCTTATAAAATATACTATCTTTTATTTTCTTTTATAGTTATAGTGATGATGATGAAGATATTACTAGTGAAGAAGATGGTGATGTTCGTTTAACAGGTCTATTGAAATATAATTTCCCTCTTTTGTTTGTTCTAATTAGATTCCTTATGTTTATTTAAGGTCCACAATCATCAGGTGAACAACATGATGATGAACATGATGATGATCTTGATGATGATAGTGATAATACAGAAAGTGATGAAACTCATACAGGAGATGAATTAGATGAAACTGAAGGTCCAACCATCGATATTCATATTGAAACAACATCAAGTCAATCAACGGATGAAAATTTAGCTGGTGATAATGAACGAAATGATCAAACAAATGAAACAAATGATAATATTAATGATGATACAACCAATAATAATAATAATAATCAAGAAGAAGTTGAGGATGATGATGAAGATGATGATGAAGACGATGATGAAGATGAAGAACAAGATGAAGATGATTTTGGTGAAGATGATGATGCTGCTGGAGAAGATATTGAAGATATGGTTGAACGGTAAAGAGATAATATTCATTTTTTTTTCTTATTTGATTTAAATGTATTTATTCTTATTAGTGATATGGATGCAGCAAATGCTTGGCAAGATGATGAAGAAGAAGATGAAGATGAAGATGACGAAGATGAAAGTACAGAATTTGAAGATGATGATGGTGATATTGCTGATTATGTGAATGAAATGGAATTTGATGAAGAAGTTCTTTCTGAAATTCGTAATAATCTTATGTCACCAACTGATATTGATCCCATTTTAATATCTAATCTTCAAGGTGTACGAATTCGTGCAACTGGCTTTCCATCACTTCATGGTATTAATGACACAGGTTAGATTTTTTTTTGTTTTTTGAACAAAAAAATAATAATACCTTTTGTTATTTTTGTTATTATTAGTTGATCCTGCTCTTCCACCACCACCTATGAGTGTTCCTGCATTACATCCATTACTTGTTCATCATGCTGATAATCAATTAAGTTCAGGTGCTTTTTCACGTTTTCGTCAATTAGGTACAACAGCAACAACAACAACAACAGCACCTAATCAAACAAATTTAAATGTTTTATCTACACAAGCAAATCCATCAACAACAACATTAACATTTGGGCAACAAAATGGACCAACAACAACTATACTTACTGGACAAGCAGCATTAGCTGCACATCAACAAATAGCTCAACAAGCACAACGAAATCGTATGTTTTTTAAAATATATATCTTTTATCATAAAAAAGTTTTTATTTTAGGTACAACTCGTACATTATTTATTCCAGGTGGTACAACCACATTTGGTCGTGCAGCAGCAGCTGCTGGTGGTTTTGCTGAATATCTTCAACATGTTAATCAACTTGATGTTGATCCATTAACTGGTCCAACAACAACAAATGGTAATATACAAGGTACAACAACAGCACGTATACTTGTTGGTAATGGTGCTGATCCTGATGCATGGAGATTTTTACATGATCAAATATTAATGGATATTGCTCCACAAGCTAATGAAGGAAATGAAAATATTGATGGAACAAAAATCTATATGATACGTACACCATTAGCACGTTGGATGGAAGAAAGTATTGTACTTGATGGACCCTATGTACATGATACTGTTTTAGCATTAAAATCGAAAATAACTGAACCATTAGAAAAACAATATGAATCAGAATTACAAGTTGTTTTAGCTAAAAAAGCTAAAGATGATGAAGAACGTAAAAAACGTTCAGAAGAAAAAGCAAGACAAGAAGCTGAACGTGCACAAGCAGTTGCAGCTGCTACAGCTGCCGCTGCTGTATCGACATCAACGACGAATGATCAACAACCAACAGAAAATGCAACAGTAACAACAACTGATAATATTCCAGAACCAATCATATCAGTAACATCATCTGTTGATGAAATTCAACATGTTAATGATATTGCTATGACTTCACCTGAACAACAACGATCAACACAAATACCATCTGTTCTAGAAAATGCTCAGGATATTAATACAAGTTCAACACAACCAATAAATGATGAATCAACATTAATAGCTCTTCAATCTGGAGAAACAGGTATTAATTATTCTTATCTAAAAATCAATTCTTTTTTTGTTTTTTACAGTTACAAGTCCATTACCTACTGAAAATATGTCTACAGGTGGTCAATCACCTGGTCAATTAGCTACATCACCAACAACATCTATGGAAATAAATCATCCATCACCACCAAAAGAAACTTCAACTGAACAGCAACAACAACAAGAATTACCAACAACTACAGAATCAACTGCAGCGACTTCATCTACTGAACCAATTTCTTCAACAACAACAACAACAGCAACAACTGAACAATCAACTCCTGTACCACCAGTTGAACCTGAAGTTGAATGGACAACATTAGTTATTGATGGTCGTGAATTTCGTGTTCCACAAGCATTAGAAATAGATCCATCATTTCTTGCTGCATTACCTGAAGAAATGCGACAAGAAATTTTAACTGATCAAGTACGAAATTTTGAACGTCAAGAAAGTCAACGACGTGCACAACGTGCTGCTGCATTTGCAGCTGCTAATCCAACAGCTAATTTAAATCCTCAATCAACTGAAAATCCAACTAGTGATAATTTTCCTGCACGAACAAATCAAACAGCAACGGAAGCTGTTTTTGGTGAAATGCTTGGTGAAATCAATCCTGAATTTATTCAAGCATTACCACCTGAAATTCGTGAAGAATTATTAGCTGAACGTCGTCGTACAGCAGCTACAATGGCTGCTATGAGTGGTGTTAATCTACCTGATAGTGGTCCTGCCGAATTTTTACGTACATTACAACCACATCTTCGTCAACAAGTACTTGCTGATATGGATGAAAGTCAAATTGGTGCATTACCTGAAGATATGGCTAATGAAGCTCGTGCATTACGTGCTGCAATGGAATCTCAACAACAACAATATTTACGTGATCGTATGGTACGAAATCATCATGATATGATGAATATGTTAACAAATAATACTCATCATAGTACACGTCCAATACGTATGTATAATTTACGTGCATTACAAGAAGCAAGAAATAATCGTGCTGATCGACAACCAACAAATTGGTATTCGTTACGTACAGGAACAAATACAGGAGATATAAATAGTAATACAGCAGCAATAGGTACACGGGGAAGACAATTACTTGATTATGAATCAATATGTTGTTTACTTGTTTTATTATTTATTGATGATACACGTTTAAATTTTGCACGTTTACAAAAAGTTTTAAAAAATTTATGTCATCATACACAAACACGACAATGGATTGTAAAAGCCTTATTATCAATAATTAATAAAAGTACAGGACGAGCTGAATATGATGGACCAACATCAACACCTGGTGCACCAACACTTATACTTAAAAATCCATCAACAAATAATCAATCACAAACAACAACAACATCATCATTAACAAATAGTGTTGGAAATGAAAATCAACAACTTAAAACTATACATCCATCATGGTTAACAATTAATTTTGAAAGTGCATTTGGTGCACGTACAAATGTATTTAAAATTCAACGTCTTGGTAATACGAAACGTCATGGATCAATACAAATATCTGTTCATGCTCAAGCATGTCCAATTGTTTGTCGACAAGTACTTGATTCATTAATACTTTTAGCAAAAAATTTTCCTGAACAATTTCTTCCATTACCATTAAATCATACTGAACAACAAACAACAACAGCAACAACAACAACCACAACAACAATTGTTCCATCAAATGATCAAACAACAAAAATGAATTCACCTGATAAACAATTAACACCAACACCATCAAAACCATCACCAAATATACGTGATTTATCATTTTGGGAATTATTACTTAAATTAGATCAATCATTTAATAGTCGTACAAATCGTTCATCAACAAATCCATTACAAAATATTTCATCTATTGTTATTACAAATTCAAATTCAAATAATAATCAACGAACATCATTATCATTAAATATAAATACAAATAATACAAATACGAATGAAATTGATTTTGAATCATCACCATTAGCATCATTATTACTTATGCTTGATCATCCAATATTAAATAAAAATACACAATTAATGGATAAATTATTTAAATTACTTTCATTAATTTCACAAAGTTTTCAAATACATATTATAACAAAAAAAGATATTTCACCATCACCTTTAGCAACATCAACACCAATGACAATCGAACCAATAAATCCACTTCAACAGCAACAACAAGCACCACCACCGCCGCCACCAGCAGCAGCAGCAGCACAGCAGCAACCACCACAACAACCACCACAACAAAATAATCAAGCATTGTCAACAAATACAACTAATAAATTAGTTGTATCTGATGATCAAGTTATTTTAGGTTTACAATTAGATTTAGTTATTAAAGCATTAATATCAAAATCATGTACGGAAGAAGGTCTAGAATTTGCAACTACACTCTTATTAAATGTATCCAAAATTAATCAAGCTACAAGAGATAAAGTTTTACATTTATTACTTAATGGTATTCGTCTATTAGGAAAAGATGTTAGCGAAGAAATTAAACAATTACTATGGGAAGTTCAAGATTATCTATCGAAAAATAAATTAAATATTCCAATAACGAATGATGATGAATCTTCGAATACACCATTTGATGAATCATCAAAATTATTTGATTCATATAAAAGTATACGTTCAAATACACTTACATCCATCAATAATGATCCAAATGCAAAACAACAAGATTTACAATTACCCGCAATGGTTATGTTAACATCTAAAACAGCTAATCAACAATTTCTATTACGTATACTTAAAGTTATTATCCAATTACGTGAAGCAACTAAAAAAGAACAACTTGATGCTCAAACACATTTTGAAACTGAACTTCATACATTAACACGTCGTCTTGATACATTACGTCAATCATTACGTTCACATTTTCCTCCATCCGATAATAATTCAACAAATCAACAAAATGATATACTTCAACCAATTGATGAATTAGCTAATCGTTTAGAACAAATGCGTACACGTTTACAAACAGTTTTAAATTCAAATACAATTGAACAACGTCAACAAATCTTTTCTCAACAAGAAACAATTAATGATATACAAGATATCTATCGTTTAATACGACAACTTGAATCATTAATTGAAAATTTTCATGAACCACCATTATCAACAACAATGACAACACGTATAAATGATGTTTTACAGACAATTCCACCATTATTTCCACAAATCAATGAACCTATGGATCTTGGACAATTCCTTCCAAATCAACAAACAAAATTAAGTGATTTATTAAATATAAATCAATTATGGGATTCATTAAGTGATTGTCTGTTATCATTAGCTAAATTACCTGATCCACATGCTGTTTTAGTACTTCAACCAGCTGTTGAAGCTTTTTTTCTTGTTCATGCTGCTGATTTAGATAATGAAAATGAAAAACAAAATAAAAAGAAAAAAGATCGTGAACAACGTGAAGCATTATCACATTTAGAATGTTTTGGTCCAGCACCAACAACAACACCAGCTGATCGTGGTGCACCTGATGAACCTGTTATTGCACCATCAAATACAACAACATCAGCAAATGATTTAACATCACCAACACTTGTCTTACGTACAGGTGGATCACAAACATTATCAACAAATGAATTACCATTAGATGCACAAAAATTTGTTGAATTTGCTCGTACACATCGTACAGTATTAAATCAAATTTTACGTCAAAGTACACAACATTTAAGTGAAGGACCATTTCATATATTAACTGATTATACATCTATACTTGATTTTGATGTTAAACGAAAATATTTTCGTCATGAACTTGATCGTTTAAAAGAAAATATACGTGGAGAAGATTTAGCTGTACATGTACGACGTAATCATGTATTTGAAGATTCCTATAGAGAATTAAGTCGACGTACACCAGAAGATTGGAAACATCGATTTTATATCGTATTTGATGGTGAAGAAGGACAAGATGCTGGTGGTCTTTTACGTGAATGGTATTCAATCATAGCACGTTCAATGTTTGATTCAAATTATGCTCTATTTATGATAAATCCAGGTGATCGTGTAACATATATGCCTAGTCCATTATCACATATAAATACAAATCATTCACAATATTTTAAATTTATTGGACGTATTATAGCTAAAGCTATATTTGATAATAAATATATGGATTGTTATTTTACACGTTCATTTTATAAACATATACTTGGTATACCTGTACGTTATACTGATATGGAATCAGTTGATCTACAATTTTATAAAAATTTAGTTATGTTATTAGAAAATGATATTGAACAATTAGGTTTAGATTTAACATTTTCATTAGATGCAAGTGAATTTGGTGAAAATAAAGTTATTGAATTATTACCAAATGGTTCAAGTATAATTGTAACAAATGAAAATAAACATGAATATGTTCGTCTTGTTTGTCAAGAGAAAATGATTGGTTCAATAAGACAACAAATAAATTCATTTTTAGAAGGTTTTTATACAATTATACCTAAAAGTTTAATATCAATATTTAATGAACAAGAATTAGAATTATTAATATCTGGTTTACCTGATATTGACATCGAAGATCTTAAAGCAAATACTGAATATCATAAATATCGACCAAATTCTTTACAGGTCCAATGGTTTTGGCGTGCATTACGTTCATTTGATAAAGAAGATTTAGCAAAATTTTTACAATTTGTTACAGGAACATCCAAAGTTCCATTACAAGGTTTTGCTCATTTAGAAGGTATGAATGGTGCACAAAAATTTCAAATACATCGTGATGATCGATCCACGGATCGTTTACCATCTGCTCATACTTGGTAAAAATAATTTGTTTGTTTTTATTCATTTATATTTTATATTTATTTATTTAGTTTCAATCAACTTGATCTACCGGCATATGAAAGTTATGATAAATTACGTAAAATGCTTTTAATTGCAATCCGTGAATGTGCGGGCTTTGGATTTGCGTAATTGAAAGAAAGAAAAAAAACAAAGAAAACAATTCTATTCTATCGATGACTTGTTTGTTATACCAACAGATAGTCTTTCGCCGTTATTTGTTATATTGTTGTGTTTTTTTTTCATTCATTCTTTCTTTCTTTCTTTCGTTTTTTTTTCTTCTCTTCGTTCTTCATTTGTATGCCATAAAACGGATATTAGAACTCTTGTCTACTCTTCTTGGTTGGGATTTGATCAATGTTAGATTGATTGACAGTGAATTATTCCTTTTGCGCCGGTCATTTTTTGCTCCTTTTAATCCGATCTATCCAACGGTTCTGTTCATTTCTGTATGCGTGTGCGTGTGTGTGTGAGTGTGTGTGTTTTTCTCTCTATATATATGTATCGTTAAGCGCTGTAGATGCATTCCTTGGCTAGCGGTATTCTAATCCGCATCTATTTCTTTCTTTCTTCTTGGTTACTATTACTCTTTTGATGTTATTTGATTGGAGAAAAAAAATCAAGTGGATGTTCGGCGCTCTATTTCTATTTTATGTATATAAATAAACAAGAGGACAGAAATTTGTCAATTTTGTTTTCATTTATTTATTCAAAGTCAGATGCAGATGCATGTCTCCTGTCCCTAAGGGATTCATTTAACTGATCATTAATGGGTATTTATTTATTTTTTTTGTAGAACAAAAATGTCAAATTTATTCAGTTATTTTCAACGTATTGAGCCAAAAAAAATGGCCACCACAACAGCGGATGACGAATCGATTCGTCCATCAAGTAACACACCTAAAAATGGACATACAAAAAAAAGTCAAACACCAAAAGAATCATCACGTAAATCAATGAATATGAGTGATGTCTATAGTGCTGATTCACCAAAATCAGAAAAACGAAAACCAATTGATGACCATGAAACATTACCAAAAAATAAAAGTACAAAACAAATTCTATAAAGAATTCAAATCTATTTGTATTATATATATAGAACGAAAAACATTGAATGCACGAAATGAATCCGATGAGGATGATGATGAACCACAACTTAAAGTTAGCAAAGTAATGAAGAAAAAATGATTCAATAATTCTTCATGGAAAATTAAATTTTTAGAGTCAAAATCGAAAACGTATTGCTATTCTTGATAGTGATGATGATAATGGATTAGAAAATGGTAGATTAATTTTGTTCTACGTTTAGTTTTTATTGCTATCATATTCATAGATAATATGGATGTTGAAGTAACACCATCGAACAAAAGATCAACTGCCAAGAATATAAAAAAGAAAGGTAATACTTCGACTACAACATCACGAAAGAAAAAAACGGAAGATAGTGAAGATGAAGAAGCATTATATAATGATGGTTCAGCTGATGAAAGTGAAGAGAATGAAAGTGGTGTTGAAGAGTATGACGATGATAATGATGAAGAACAAGTATGATTTTTGTCAAATAGAAAAAAACTAACTTTGTCTTTCAATATTATTTAAGACAAAAACACCAAAACGTCGAACAACAACTTTAAATAGAGAGAAGAAAAAACCACCAAAACATGTACATGATAATAATTTTACACATCTTTCATTGGATTTTCTCAAAGATGGAAAACGACGGTAAGTGTGAATTTGACAAAAAAAAAAGCTATATTTTATATTTTTAATAGTGATATTAATCTTCGACTTCATACTGATCCAAGTAGATTTATTCGATATTCTTTTGTTATTTATTTTTATATTTATTATCTAGATTATGATCCACGTACATTACATGTTCCTGAAGAATATCTTAATAGTATTACACCTGTAAGTTATATATATATTCAAAAATGAAAATTGTTTTTTATTTAATTTCAAAAGGCTATGCGTCAATGGTGGGTATTAAAATCAGAACATTATGATACAATTCTTTTTTTCAAAGTAATTATTTAATTTTAAAAATAAAATCAATTAATTATTTTTTATTACTATAGGTTGGCAAATTTTATGAACTTTGTATGTTAAATATTATACACATGTAAAGAAAATTTTAATATTCTACTTCATAGATCATATGGATGCTGTTATTTGTGTACCAGAATTAAATTTAACTATGATGAAAAGTAGATAATACAAAATAGCTCGAATTTATTTTTTATTTTTTATTTATTAATCATAGATGAATCGGCTCATTGTGGTTTTCCAGAAAAAGCATATAGTAAATTTGCTGATATACTTGTTTCAAAAGGTTATAAAGTAGCACGAGTCGAACAAACAGAAACACCAGATATGATGAAACAACGTATTGAACAACGTATGTACATAATTAGTTCTTTATTCTCATACACATATATTCATTTTCTTATAGAAACTGGACGAAAAAGTAAATTTGATAAAACTGTTCGTCGAGAAGTTTGTCAAATAACAACACCTGGTACAAAAACATTTAATACATTAGATAATGATAATATTTTCCGTGAAAGTTTATTTTTATTATGTATTGTTGAAATTGTATGTATACATCGAAATAAACATATATATATATATTTCTATTTATTTAGCCAATTACGGATAATAAAATCACACCATGTGAATTCGGTGTATGTTTTGTTGATACAACTATTGCACAATTTTATGTATGTTTAAAGAAATGATTTTATTTATTTTTCTTAAAGAATTTCTTTCTAGATTGGTCAATTTGAAGATGATCGATATTTATCACGTTTACAAACTTTACTTGCACAATATCCACCAGTTCAAGTATGAAACAATTTTTTTGATAAATAAATCGAATTATTTGTGTGTTTAATTAGATTTTATGTGAAAAAAATAAAATATCAGAAAAAACAAAAAAAGTTTTAACATTAACACATGCCAAAATGGAATATTTAACACCAAATAAAGAAATGTATGAAACAACTAAAACACTCGATATTCTTCGAGATGATACATATTTCAAGGATGAAAAAGGAAATCTTCAATGGCCAGATGCTTTTCAACATGTTTTCAATGATGGTAAATAATTTCTTCATTTATTTAGAAACTGAAAAATATCTCACTTATATTTAGGTGATGCACAAGGTTTACATGTTCGTCCAGCATTTCTAATATCAATGCGAGCATTAGGTGGTATTATCTGGTAAGATCATCGAGTTTTTCTAATCAAATTTTGATTGAAATTTAATTTATTTAGGTATTTACAACATTGTCTTATTGATAAAGAACTTTTATCCATGCGGAAATTTTCGATTTTTCAACCACCTGATGAAAATGTTGAACTTAAAGAAGCATCAACATTTACACAACAAAATATGGTACTTGATGCAACAACATTGTATAATTTAGAAATCTTAACAAATAGTCGAGGTGGAAAAGAAGGTTCATTATTATATGTATGTGATCGATGTTCAACTCATTTTGGTAAACGTCTTTTGGCTCGATGGCTTTCAGCACCATTATGTAATGTGAATGAAATTAATGAACGATTGAATGCTATTGATATTTTACGTGAGAAAAAAGAATTATGTATAAAAATTCGTGATAAACTTAAAACAATTCCTGATCTTGAACGACTTTTTTGTCGGTAAGATATCGAGAATTTTCTCTTTTTTTCTTCTATTTCTTTCTTTCTTTCTTTCTTAGTATTCATTCACTTGGTCATCGTCCACTTGATCCTGATCATCCAGAAAATCGTGCTATACTCTATGAAGATATAACATATAGTAAACGAAAAATTCAAGACTTTTTATCTGCATTTGCTGGTTTAAAAGTAGCAAATGATATTGTTGAATTATTTTCAAAATATAACGATATACCATCATCTTCGAATTTACTTAAGAAAATTATTTATCGAGGTGATGAAAATTTTCCTGAACTTGGCGAATTACTTGATTTTTATACAAATGCATTTTCACATGCACAAGCACGTACTGAAGGTAAAATTATTCCAACAGTTGGTGTTTGTAAAGAATATGATGATTCATTAAATGACATACGTGAAAATGAAAAAGAATTAAACGAATATTTAACTAAACAAAAGAAAATTTTAAAAAATCATGATATTAAATATGTTCATGTACAAAAAATTCGTTATGCAATGGAAATACCTGAAAAAGCTTGTGGAAATTTAGATGATGATTATGAATTAATGAGTTCACGAAAAGGTTTTAAACGATATTATACAAGTGAATTACGTGAATTACTTGAAACATTAAATGAAAGTGAAAAAAAGAAAGAATCAGCATTAAAAGATACAACAAGTAGTTTATTTCGAAAATTCGATAGTCATCATGATATATTCCAACGTGTACTTAATTGTTTAAGTACACTTGATGTAATACTTAGTTTAGTTGGTTATAGTGAATCATATTCAGATATGTGTCGACCCATTGTTCTCGCAACAGATGATAATCAACAAGCATTTATTAATATTCGTGATGGTAAACATCCATGTATGCTTCAAAAATCAACGGATACATTTATTCCAAATGATATTATACTTGCTGATAAGTCATCAAATGAAATTTGGCAAACAAAACCATTAGTACTTGTTACTGGTCCAAATATGGGTGGTAAATCAACATTAATGAGAGAAACAGCTGTACTTGCTATATTAGCACATGTTGGTAGTTATGTTCCAGCAACATCATGTAAAATGAGTGTATGTGATCGAATATTTACACGTTTAGGTGCAAGTGATCGAATTATGGCTGGTGAATCCACATTTTTTGTTGAATTAAGTGAAGCATCATCAATTTTACGTCATGCTAGTCGTCATTCTTTAGTACTTATTGATGAACTTGGACGAGGTACATCCACATTTGATGGAACAGCTATCGCTTGTTCAGTTGTTAATGATCTTGCAAATCGTATTAAATGTCGAACATTATTTAGTACTCATTATCATACATTAGTTGATGATTTTGAAAAACATGAAAGTGTTGGTTTGGGACATATGGTATGTTGTAATTTTGAATTATATTTTTATAAATATTTCATGATTTATTTATTAGTCATGTATGATTGAAAAGGATGATGAAACATCAACAAAAGAAACACTTGTTTTTCTTTATAAATTTGTTGAAGGTTCATGTCCTAAAAGTCATGGATTTAATGCAGCACGTACGTATATTTTTCTTTTTAATAAATAAATTTAATATTATTTTCTTTGTATATAGGTTTAGCTAATATTCCTGAATCAATTATTGAATTAGCACAAAGTAAAGCATCAGCATTTGAACGATGGGTTACACTTAAACGAATCTTATTTACATTAAAAAAAATAACTGATAAATCTCAAGAACAAGATATACTTCAATTCTTATCACAATTAAAACTTAATTAAACTAGATATTTACTTATTTATTTTTTTTATTATATATCTCTATGTATGTGTATGTATGTATGACAAATAATTATGACAATATATCTGTGTTATCATTGAAAAAAGAGTAAAATTTGGACCCAGTGTTTTTTTGTTCTTTATTATATATTTATTCTTTCTTTTTGTACTTTGAAAAAATTAAACAAGACATTCTTTTTTTTGTCGATGATAATGAAAGAACATAGAGAAAAAAAAATGACTCTTTTCTTTTTTTTCTTTATTATTTTTTTTTAATTTATATTTGCCAGCTGATAATGATTCACATTCATTATTTTGAAGTATTCTTTATGAATCTAACATTGCGTCCTCTAGCGTAGTTCTACTATGCTAGTATAAGCACATGCTTTTCAACCAATGCTTTTTCATGAATAATGTACGGATCGTCTGATGACTATTAAAATATATATGAGAGGAAGAAAATCATGACGTATATTTATACAGTAGTAGTAGTTCTCGAATGTTTTCTTTTATCTCTATGTTGATAATGAAATATATATATATAAAATTTAGTCATATTTTTTAGTTCTTTTTTTTTCTATTAAATATTTACATGTGTTAGTTTTTTAGATTTCAATTGATAAATAAATCGAATGGCATTACGAAAGAAAGTTCTACTTAAAGTAATTATCTTAGGTGATTCCGGTGTTGGTAAAACATCGTTAATGAATCAATTTGTCAATAGAAAAGTAAATAAATTTTGTTATTGTTGTTTATATTTATTAGTATTATGAATTTAGTTTTCAAATCAATATAAAGCAACGATTGGTGCCGATTTTTTAACAAAGGAATTACAAATTGATGATCGTCTTGTTACTATGCAGGTAGGATTATTAGTTCGATTTTATTATGAAATAATTCATTTTGTTGTTTTTTTAGATTTGGGATACAGCTGGTCAAGAACGTTTTCAAAGTTTAGGTGTTGCATTTTATCGTGGTGCTGATTGTTGTGTTCTTGTTATGGATGTAACATCACCAACATCATTCAAATCATTAGAAAGTTGGAAAGATGAATTTCTTATTCAAGCTGGTCCGCGTGATCCAGAAAATTTTCCATTTGTCGTATGTTATCTTTTTTTCATTCGAAAGAAAAAACTAATAATTCATTTTAGGTACTTGGCAATAAAGTTGATTTAGAAAATCGAATGGTTTGTTATTGTAGTATTTTTTTTTCTAATATTTTTATTTTTTTTTATTTTAGATCCCAACACGTAAAGCACAAAGTTGGTGTCAAGGTAGATATACATTTTAAAAATAAAATTCAAATTTAATTTAATTGTTTTTATTTAGAAAAAAATAATATACCATATTACGAAACATCTGCTAAAGAAGGTGTTAATGTTGAAAAAGCATTTGAAACTGTTGCACGTAATGCATTAGCACGTGAAAAAGAAATTGATCAACAAGCAGATTTTCCTATCCCAATACGTATTCCACAACAAGAAGATCCACCAAAGAGAGATGGATGTTCATGTTAATTTAACATATAATCTTATGTTTTTTTTCTTTTGTATATAAATTGAAATTCAAGCTACCTCGGTATTTCGTCTAACCAAAACAAACAAATGTCTTATCTATTTCCTTTTATTCTCTAACGTTGATTTGTCTTTTTTTTCTTTTCTTTTCATCTATATGTATTTCAAATTTACGAGCATGTTATTTCCATTTTTTTTCCTTCTTTTGTGTATAAACAAATTGAACTTCATTTGCAATAACGACTTTATTTAAATAAACAACTTGGATTAGTCTTTTAAAAAAATTAATTTTTATCATTCGAGATAAAAAAAAGAAGTATGATAAGATGTCATTTTTATTTTTTTTATGACAATCAGACGTATGTGATTTCAAAGGTTAAAGAGCAGAGATTTCGTCACTATGAGTTAGTTACTTATCTTTATAAATTAATGATAAAAGCTCAAATGTGTCATTTATAAATAAATATATAAATATTATTCTTCCTGTCAATGACAAAGAATACTAATGACTTTTATTTCTATTCTCGTTCTAACCCAAGGTAAATTATGTATAAAAAAAGAAGATTTAAATTAGATTATCTGTTTTGACAACATACTGAATGACTTAAAAATAACGTCATAGGAAATTTTTTTTGTAATTAATTTCTATAGAAAGAAAATGACAAATTCATTGAATCGAAGACGATAATTATCGATTTCTCCTGAAGATAACAGAACATAACACAGACATCATTATGATTATGTTGCATTAATTAAGCCGATCTCACTTTAACATAAGAAGTCTGTTTATAGAGTACTTTTATTTAATGAGTATATCTTGTTCATCATGATGTTATACTTGAGAAAACCATAATATGAATTTTTTCTTCGTATATAACTTATAAACAGATATAAGAAAAAAAATTCTTCCGAACAGTTACATTTTATATAAAATGATGTAATAATTTCCTCCGAATTAATCGATAAAATTCTCGTCGAAACATCGATGATGATAAAGTATACACAAAAAATGTTAAAGAAAATCCCAGATATATTAAAAAATAAGACATATTATTAATAAGTAATTCAATTGTTAAACGAAGAGGTGATTTTATAATATTATCTGTTAATGTTCGATAAAGTAGATAACAGGGATTAATTAAATTTAAAATAATCCAAATACATATTTGATTCAATAACATTCTTGAAAATTGTAAATCTTTTCTTGATATTCTCGCTAATCGAACAGGTTGAATTACGACAACTACTCTTAATGGTCTTATTCTACTTTTTATTTTTCGAATATTATTAATTGTAAGTAGACCACATATAAGCATTATAGCTAATGGAAATATTCCACTATCAATAATTATATAAATACTAAAAAACATTCCATAAATACCATTTCGAAATGAACAATCATTATTGTCAATTTCATAAAAAATTAAAACTTGAATATACATTAAACACCAAAATAAACTATTACCAATAATTAAACGTAAAGCAATTTTTGGTGAACTCCATCGACGTCGATTGATATCAGAAGAACTAGCAAAATAACGATCAATTGATGCCAATATAATATAATAACGTGGAATGGCAACAAATACATAGAAAAGATAATAACGAATTTTACAAAACCATAAATATGTATTTACTGCTTGAATATTATGACCAAATTGAAGTATTCTTGTGAGGAGAGCAAAATTAAATGTTAGAAATTGTGAAGCACTTGACGCTAGAAAATACATTACACATGGATTTTTTCGTAAATTTGATTGAAGAAAAATAAAACAATTCATTGTTGATCCAATATTTCCCACAATCCAAATAAGACCCATACCATATTTTGAAATATTTCTATTGAGAAGAAGAAAAAAATGACACCAATAAATCTCATTATCATCAATACGAATTTCCGTGTTATTTAACATGATATTTAATCTATGTGTGAGATAAATTTTTTATTTTATAAAATGAAAACGTAATAGAGAAATTCTATGACGTAAAAAAAA